TTGTAAGCATGAACGATACGCCACTTGCCGTTCGGCTTCCGAACACAAAATGTGGGTCACGAATGGGGTGACTTGCTTTTACGTACCATCCCAGCGTCGTGCTTTGCACGAAGAAAGGTGTCAATGACGTCGCACAGCTCCTTGGGCAGGGACTATTGGCGTATTATGCAGTATTTGGTTCCCGGAACCAGGTTGATCTCATGAGGCACACCTCGGTCCGGAGGTAGGACCGAATGCGGGTCGCTGGAGACGACGTCTTTACATGCCTTTACCAAAGGATAGCACGCTTCCAAGGGATTCCGTAGGATCGACGATCCGCTTCGTGCGTTCGGCACTCTCTTGATGTCCTTCAAGACAGCTTCATCCCGAAGCGATGACAAGTTTATCTCCTCGTCCGGTCGTACAATGACCACTTCGGCCAAATTGCCTGCCCTCAAGACACTGCCAAACTTTTCAAGAGACATCTCGTCCAGCTCAAGAAGAGTGTCTACGGCAGGCATAGTCTCGAGGCGGACGTCGCTATCTTCCTCCCCCGTCATACCATTGAAGAGGGTGTATTACTGCGCACCATCGTCTACGGTAGACACACTCTGGATCAGGGTCGACGACCGGCGTCTTGCAGCCAGCATACAGCGTCGATGTCGCCTCTGTACAGAGGTTCTATGTCTCGGTGAGACCAGGGTGAACACGCATTCCATGTCGTCCGGTGTTACCCTCACTGTCCGCTCCTTTGGAATTCCGATGTTATCTACAACATCCAACGAAGAGCTGCTAACCCCGCAATCTTCGTTCAGTGGATAACTTGCAACTCCACGCGCATCTGAAGGGCCGTACCCAAGATGCCTCAGACTCTTTCCGATCACGCCATCAATGGCATGCAGCGACTGCTTTGAACGAGAGGAGTCCTCAGTGGTATACTTGCCACTTCATGCGCATATGAAGGGCCGTGCCCAAGATACCTCGGACTCTGTCCAACCATGTCATGCATGATATGCAGCGACGGCTTCGATACTCGAGCAGCGCTCAGTGGTTTACGTGTTACTTCACGTGCATCACGGTGGCCAACCATGTGACGCATGACATGCAGCGACTGCTTTGATACTTGAGCAGCGCTCAGTGATTTACATGCCACA